GGGTGAGATGTGGGAGAGCCAGGGGACTTCTGCAGGCAGTAAGAATGCTGTGGGTCACATGACACAGGCTCCAGAGGAGGCAGCAGGGAAGGGCTGGGTAGCAGTCCAGGTACCAGAGTTGGCACATGGGCACATGGGGGACAACAAGGGAAATGGTGACTGTAATGAGGGAAACTACTGGAACTGGGCAATCAGCTCCCAAGGAACCAACTGTAAAGAACCCCACCTTCTCTGGAATTGCTGTCATTTATGTACTAATTTAGGTACCAAGGATTGAATCCAGGGGTGCTTAACCATAGAGCCACAACCCCAGCCCATCTTATTTTATTTTCAGAGACAGGGTCTCACTAACTGGCTTAGAGCTTCGGGAAATTGCTGAGGCTGGCTTTGAACTAGCAATCCTCCTGCCTCAGCTCCGCAAGTCACTGAGATTTCAGACAGGCTTGTGCTAGGATTGCTTTTTAGTATTTTGGCCTCCCCTAGGGTCTTTCTTATGGGTCACCAGAGGGACATTATGCAGTGCTGAGAAACTATTACTAAGTCAGAAGTTCACCCTCAGCCTGGGAGTCCTGGGAAAACCGTGGGCTCAAGATGAATTCAGACCAAGGGTCTCTTTGCAGCCCCGTCACTAACCAGCTTCTCCTGTCAGAAGTCCCCCGCCAGTCAGCCTCCAGGTCTTCTTCTGCCCAGGGAGACTGATGAGACCTGTCCAGTAGGACAGGTTTTGGGACATGGGTACAGAATGGAAAGCTCCTGGGCTGGTGCCTGTCCTGGAAAGGAACGGTTGTGAGTGGCAGATAGCTGCAGTTCCTAATAGTCCTGGATCCCAGCCTCTACCACTCCCGGGCATCCTTGGCATTGGTTGTCACCAGCACACAGTGGAAATTATGCAGCTTAGTTCGATATGGAATACCCCATCAGCCAAAGCGGAAGCTCCCTGACTCAAATTCAGTAAACATTTCCTGTGGGTGAACATATTGCAAAATGTGGGCGTAGAGGAGTCTTCCCCACTGGGAGAATGTTAGGATTTGAGTCAGGACTCACTCCTACCCTCCCAGACTCTGTTCCATCCAAACCACGATTTCCATTCATTCCATCGCCATGCAAAATCAACTGCTTGGTTACAATGGGTGCAATTACACTGGTACCCTAATTAAAACACCACTTTACTGCA